AGTAAAATAATTCCTTTTTTCAAAAATTTTGTTTGTTGATTTTAATTGGAATTTATACGAAAATACATGAAATTCTCACTAATATGAATAGAAGAAATTATTGTTTTTTCCCCAAAGATCTATATATATAAAAATCAATTTTTGTTTGTTGGTAACGGAATCAGTTGGAAACGGCTCGGCCGATTTGCATAATTTTTTGTACAAACGTTCGTCATACCACGAGTTAGGTTTTTAAAGAAAAAAATATTGACCACGCCTCCTTTTACGCCCACTATTACGATTTATCTAAAATCTTTATATTTGCCAAAATAGTGAAGATATCGGTTTGAGAATTATTATACGAGATGCTGTTGGCTTTCCATCCAACCCTAAGTACTTATTTAGGGGCTGAGGATCGCGCCTACTTTTAAATCTATCTCTCTATATGTAAAAGAAAGTAGTGTTAGTTACTACTCTTATAACATAAAGACCGCCGGTCTGATTTTAACCATTTAGACAAATTCGGAATTGCCTCTTGGCAGAAAGGAATAAAAAACCAAAAAAATCGCGTAAAAATGTGAAATTTGAACATTTTCATTTTGACTTTTAAAATGTACAATAGTAATGTTTTATATTGTATATTTTTTCCATTTTGACTTACTATTTTCGAATGTACATTTGTAGTGTTTTTTGTTTTTTTTTTTTTTTGAATTCTAATATGATGTGTAGGTTTTTTTGGGTAGTATAAAGCCACAACGGATAAAACTGTTATTTATAGATTTTATGTATTTATTCGTAATACCCAATAAATACATAAAATCTATAAATAACAATTTTATCCGTTGTCGCTTTATATGAAAATTTAAAATCGGGGAAATTCGACAATTTTTCAATGGAATCTAATTTCAAAATAATAGTACATTCTACCGACAAACTTAGGTATCACCTTTAAAAATTTGCCGCAAAAAAATTCAGCGAACCAGTTGAAGATTATTTTTCTTTTTTCTATATTGAAGTGTACATTTTTTTTTTTGGTTTGAATTCTGAATGAATAATATTAAAAATGAAATGAGGGTGCAGTACGATGTTAAATGCTTTCTACTCCAGGACCTACATCGTGCTTCAGCTGGAAGATGCGAACACATTTAAACAAACAAAAATGACCAAAGAAGCGTTATGGGGTTAATTTCAAAAGTGGACCTTCTTCTTTCATATGACAATAAATTGTCAAATGAGAACACAAAATGCAAAATACATTGGGACTGTAATCAGTCAAATACCGACTATAAAGAACGCAAAATAGAAATTCTACCTAAACATTCAAGACACCTTTAATCGCTTTGGCAGGTCATGATATGGATCATAACCCCCGATAACGGAACAACCCGATTTTAAGTATATTCTACATTTTAACCATATTTTTCGTACTAATTTTAGCTTATGTTGATAATTTAAGAAGAAATCATCTTTGCAAAAAATGATCACGTGAACATGATTTAATGTATTTTCGGGGTCTTGGCCACTTTTTTAATTTTTTGGCCCTTATTTGACATCTTTGTTTCTAAGGGGGAAGAAAACCTCTTCTTATAAATTTTTATTTTTCGGAAAAGTGCGCATCTTAGTCTTGAGGCTACCTGGGGTAAAAAACCCTGGGGTAGAAAATCATCTTACAGATAATTACCCTCATAGGAATTTATTTAAGTATAGTCCCCACATTAGAATACCCCACTTTCCCAACCAATGCGTGGTCAGAAACGAAAATTTGGTATTCTATTGAATTTGTAACCCCCAAGAGAATATTGGTTGGGAATGTAGATTTGGTATGTACGTCTATATGAAATAAACTCCGAAATGTCAATCTGGGACTCATTCAGTCGGAAATTGTGGCAGAAACAACAAAATACGAAATTATAAAGTAACTTCTTTATCATATAGGTATTTAACACTCAAATTAAAGCCTATAGCTGAAAAATAAAATCAGGCTATTCAAAATATCTAAAACCGACGGTAATTATAATTTTTGCCATGAATATTAATTTATATTTAGTCATGGAGTCATTACTCATAATCAAGTCACTACTTATAATCAAAATTGGAGTAATTATAATGGCGTCATTACTTTTAATCAAAATTGTGCCGCCTACATAAGTCAGATCTGTGATTTATTATGCGTTAAAGATTAAAAGTACGGGCCGGCAACGCGGACCGGGCCAGCTAGTTTATTATATAATTAATTTTACAAATTCAATACACATTTTCAACTTTTGTGTAAATGTTGACATTTTGAACATATTTTTGTATTTTTTATACCCTCCACCATACTATGGAGGGTATATTAATTTTGTCATTCCGTTTGTAACTCCTCGAAATACTTATGTCAGACCCAACAAAGTATATATATTCTTGATCAGCGTAAAATTCTAAGACGATTCGTCTGTCTGTCTGTCTGTTGTTATCACGCTATCTTTCAGACAAATTGAGATAGAAGGCTAAAATTTTGCACACATGTATATTTTGCCAGTAGGCAGGTTAAGTTCGTAAATGGGCCATGTAGATCTAGGTTATCATATAGCCCTCATATAACGGTACCTCCCGATATTCGGTATTTTGATGATTTTAGCGACATTATTCACCGGAATTGTTTCAAATTTGGCATTTGAAGTTCGTAATGGATACCTCAGCCTAAGACAGAAAATAATCTGTGTAGGTCCACGTCTTCGTATAGCCCCTATATAACGGTACTCCCCGATATTCGGCATTTTGATGATTTTAGCGACATTATTTAACGGAATCGTTCCAAATTTGGTATTTGAAGTTTGTAATAGATACTGCAGCATAAAACAGAAAATGGACCATGTAGGTCCACGTCTTCGTATAGCCCCCATATACCGTACCCCCCGATATTCGGTATTTTGATGATTTTAGCGACATTATTTACCGGGATTTTTTCACATTTCGCATGTGAAGTTCGTAATGGATACTTCAGCCCATGCCAGAAAATTGTCTATGCAGGTCCACGCCTTCGTATAGCCCCCATATAACGGAACCCCCTATATTCGGTGTTTTGATGATTTTAGCTACATTATAAACAGATTTTTCTTCAAGTTTCGCATTAAAATATTGTAATAACTTATGACAAAAGTTGCCTATGCAGGTCTACGTCGTCGTATAGGCATTCGGTATTTTTAAGATTTTAACAGAATTTTTAACAGATTTTATTTATTTTTTTTTTTTGGAAATTGTTAAATTTGTACCAAATGGTGGAGGGTATTAAAAGTTCGGCCCGGCCGAACTTACAGCTTTTTTACTTGTTTATTTTTGCTGCTGGAGAGACACTTGTCAAAATTTTTTTCTGCCGATACAAACATTTTGAAAATATTGCCTCTTTTGTTTTCAGATTTCTGTGGAAATTTCAACTCGTGGACAAAATCCGTACCTCGGATGGGAGAGCAAATAAAATTTACTTTCGTTTGAATGTACATACGCCATTTAACATTGTAGTTTTCATTCATAATTTTCAGTCTTCCTAATTTTTTTTAATTTCATTAAATTTTTCTATTTTTAATTTTGGAATGTCATAATTTATTTTTTCGATAAATGCTCTTGTTTGTTGGGGATGGCACACATTTCATCTTAGTTCTGAGAGTGATTTGAATCAATCAGCAAATTTTGTGTGGGGAATTAAGTAGATATTTCTTAATTGTCGACCATCAAAACGAGGAATAGAGAGCGAATCACGTGTCATGTGAACTTAGCATAAGGCTAATTGCATTTATGTAAGTCTATGGAATAGAATTTTGAAACCAAATTTTTGGATCATCCAAACTTTTGTTCGTTATTTATTTCAAAGTTAATATACCCTCCTTCCCTGCACATTGGGAAGGAGGGTATATTAACTTTGTCATTCAGTTTGTAACATACCTAAAAAATTATTGTAGACCCCAATAAAAGTGTATATATTCATAATCAGCATAAAATTCTAAGACAGACGATGTCCGTCTGTCTTTTGAAATCGCGATACAGCCCACATTATTTGATGTGTTGAAAATGAGACATATCGGTCCACGTTTTGGTATAGTCCCCATGTAATGGTACCTTCCGATATTCGGTATTTTGTTGATTTTTTCCAAATGTTTTAACGGATTTGTATTAAAATTGGTCCCCATATAGCGGTACCTCCCGACATTCGGTATTTTGTCTGTCTGTCTGGTGTCTGTCTAAAAATAATAATAACGGGTATAACGGGTTCTAGCTCCGGTGGCGAAACATTAAATATTTAGGTCCGCGTTTTCCGAACATAAACCTATAACTACCGATATTCGATATTTTGACAATCCTTGTCACATTTACCCATGAAATTGTTTCAATTTTGTTATTTTAGAAGATTTGATAGATTACAATCCTCGAAGTATAAAATTGTCTGTAGAGGTTCCCGTTTGGGTATGGCCCCACATAAGTTTATCTGCATTATGCAAAAGGTCTTATTAGTATTTGTAGTTTAAAGTGGAGCACGCTTTAATTCAGCTACTTTTATACAAAAATGTTTCCATTACCCTAAGGTGGAGGGTATTACAAATTCGGCCCAGCCGCTCTTAATGTTTGTTTACTTGTTTATATTAACATGTCTCTGTCATGAGCTGTTATTATAGATAGTGTATTCTCAAACTATTTGTTCAGAATGCATTGTGTCTAGTCTTTACCTTTTTATGTCTTTGTATTAAAGCCTCAAAAAGTAGAACATATTTTGCCATTCAAATTTACTCTTTTGAGTTACAACAAATAAAGAAATATCTATTTTTTCGTATGCACTACAGGGTGATAATCGAAAAATTCATTACGCCATAACAAGTAAGCGTGAACTATGGTTAAAATTTCAGCTAGAGGTTTCGTATACTAAACAAGGACTATTATTATTGCACTGTGTAATATGTTATACATCAAATTACTTCCGTAACCATAAGCAATCCAAAACGGATTGGGAGAAGTAAGATTATTACATGAAGATTTAAAATAAGAGTTACCTGTTTTAAAACGCCAACTAGAAGTTCGTCGACATTATGTTGTATGCCACTGGACGTTTCAATAAATTTGGCGTCTCGGGAAGCGGCAAGAGCCTTGCCATCTACATTGAAAAAGTAACAGCTTTGAAATATACGATAGGATGGTAGTGTATTTAAATAACTTACCTTGTGAAGAAATTACACGTGACCTAGCCAAGTCAGCTTTATTGCCAACAAGAATAACGGCTTTGTCCTTGGTGTAGTTCTCCTGCCACAAATAATTGATGATTTCTTCTGCAACGCGGAAGGACGATTTTTCCACAATGGAGAAGACCACTACACAGCCATGGGGTTCGTATGTAGACAATGAGTTTTCCACCTAAATGACATTAATGTGAACGGAACAAAGGCATTAGCGTGTTGGAGTTGGTTTCTGCGTTCCGCAACGCCATTTACTCACACTCATCTCAACGCTCGGGTGATCGATAAATACCAATTCGGATTCCTCATCGTCCAAAAGAACACTAACCGTTTTTTCGCCGAATTCATCATCTAAAACTCAAATGTGAATTATTCACTAAAACATACCAAAAGTTAAACAGCTAAACGAGTGAAAAGATAAACATCTAATAGGTGGGTGGGAAGAGGGATGGTGCATAGGGGACTTCTGACTTACTGTGACTTAAGTCGTGAATTATTTGCATGTAAACTCGTTCAAAGCCTATGAAAGCGAATTGCATTTCAAGCGACTTCTAATATATCTACTTACCTAGACTTGCGTCGTAAGTGTGCATGTACTCAGATGTCATAAATTGATTGACCAGAGCCGTTTTGCCGACCCCAGCATCACCCAGCATTACAACTCGATAACGTGGTGGCGGTGGAGGTTCGACGTTTTCCGAATCTTCGTCTGGAGAAGCCGGAACGGAATCCACGTTGGCATAACCTCCCCCGCAACAGGAACCATCGAATGGAGACCGTTCGCTAGCTCTGCAATAGAAGATACAAAATAAGTAAGGACATGAAATGTATTCGAAATATTCCATTTATTTAAGCACATTTGCTTAAATACTGACTTAAAACTTGAATATGTCAGGACGAAGAAGAAATTGAGATCTGCTCTGCCACTGTCCAGCACTCATTAACGTGAGACACAGGTTGGTGGGGGAACAAGTGTCACATGATTTGTCTTCGTTCTGTAACACTGACCCTACAGTACAGTAATTCTTCAATTATCCAGACGATTTAGGTGGCTAAATACGACGCGGCAAGATCTCTAGCCGTGGATCACCCTCATGACCCTCATATATCAGCTACATTCGGTATTTCTAAGATTTTAACGGAATTTTTAACGGATTTTATTGTTTTTGAGAATTGCCAAATTCGTTCCAAATGGTGGAGGGTATTTAAAGTTCGGCCCGGCCGAAATTACAGTTTTTTTACTTGTTTCCACTATTCTTCATTCTTCCAATTTCCTATTAGGATAAACACAATGAACCAGCAGGTCTCCGATTGGAGCGGTTACCAAAATGGAAACCGCGCGTCCTTTAACCTAACCTAAGCACAATTGCCAATTTTGTTCCATAACAAAATTATTTCTCCCGGCATTTGTCGTTTTTTATTGTTGGTTATTGTTGTTTTGATTCAATAGATGGCGTTGGTAGTAGGAACATATGTTATGTCTCCATATCGTGGCATAGCATCATGTTAGAATTTAACAGACCTAACACTTTTATAGTGGTTTTGCTGATTTTTATCGCTTCAATGTAAAAGGTAATGCTCTGGAATAGATTGTTCAGACCATGTCTATCTTATCTGATCCTTTTTACAGCGGGTTTCCGCCATTATTCGGTTTTACATATTTCCGTAATATTTCCAATGCATTCTTTGCATGTCGTCGTCCATCTATTGCCTGATCGAAACAACAAAATTTCAAAAATGGATTTCAACATTCTCTGCTATGGTTTGCCAAAGCGGTTTTAAAATTCTATTTTTTATTAATATAATTAATATAAATTAATATAAATAATATTGCAGTTCTAAAGTTAACATTGATTGCATTCATATTTTATGATTTTTGTGACAGATTTGAACCACTGTCCATTGGTTCAAAGGCAAAACGTTCAAGTGAAGGCTCTATGCAATGATATTGCATTACTGTTACTCACCTGCTATTTGTGGAGTTGACACTTGTGTTACTGCGAGATCGTCGAGATATAATAGAGTCTCCACAATTGACTACATTGCCCTTACTAATGGAGAAGTGTCGTAAGCGGTAAAGATCGTCGCTAACTCTTGGATTGTATGGGCGGTCCGGCAATGAACATACTCTTGGCCGGAAGTGATCTGGAACTATTAGCGAAAGGGTATGTTATGTTTCAGGCTACCTGTGTTCTAAGGAAAGACTTTACTAACCTGGAAGTTCAAGAAAATTCGAAGTTCTACGTTGACGGCCCCTGTTTGACGCTTGAAATGCTAACGGTCCTATATCGTCATTGGATACCAGGGAAGCATTTGAACAAGCACTCTTCATCGATTCACGAGAACTGCGACGGCTGGCTAGATAAGCCAAGCCTCCTTTGGAGCTTCCTCGCCTGCGTGGCTTATAATTGGCTGCTGTAGGTGTGGATGATTCCCCACCGAATTTATGTTTGCCTCTTTCGCCGTCACCGTCTTGTGTTAAATCGCTGGTAGATTTTCTGTGTCGCAATGAAACCACACTATCCGAACAAGTACGGTCCAGGGTTGAATGAGAGCTGTGAAGAACCTGAATAATCAAATCATTATTGGTTAAGAGACTAAATCATTTAATTAAGTCGAGTTTGATTACCTGGTAACCGGGATTGGACGTAATGTTAATTGCATGTCTTCGTTTGCGCATAATTGAGGCCTGCTCCGCGAGTGGGCTCAAGTCCTGAGTCTGGTCAGATGTTGTAGTTTGCCGTGTTGAGGTGTCCGAATAACTAAACGACGTAGTTGTTGTGGCCACAGTACTGGTTTCAGATTCCGCAGAGAGTTGGGTGCAGTCCGTAACACACGAATCCCTTTTAAGGTAATAATTATTCGGTCCCAATCCCTGATATCCGCCCATATTCGATGAATCAGTCATGTCCCATTCATCACTTCGAGCCGGGGAATTTTTGCTATTGAATCGTGGCAGATGTTCCAAAGGGGATGAACGCAGTAACTTTTTTGAATTATTTCTATGTGGTTCGTACAAATTGGGCGAAATGGGTGCACCTGCATGATTACTCTCGAAATATCTGCCAGTAAGAACAGGATTTTCGCTTACATCGTCCTCATCGACGTCTGGTGACACTGGTTCGTAATACTCAAATTTTCGGCTCGGCGAATCCATGACGGGACTAATGGCTTCAAAGACGAATTTGCATGTTGTGTGTGGACTTCGTCTCGGAGACAACGGTGTCTGGCTGCCACTATACAAGTTGCACGACGGGGAGTCCATTGAGTTATCATTTGAATACATTCCCTTTGGACTTCTTGACCCCGACGATGGTGTGTGATAATAGGAGGCCGAAGATTGCGCATCGTCGGCACTATCATTGGCAAACGTTGTCGTAATTTTAGGACTACGGGGCGGATTGTCGCGACTGCTTGACCGAGTATTTGGAGCCGATGATGTCGTTGGAGCATCCGAGCAGCTGCTGTGGCAACTGTAATTGCTACGTATCGAAGGACTCCTCTGTGTGGGATGAGTCGATGGCTTTGTAACCGAATCGTAGGCAACACCACCGATCTGCATTGGAAGATTTCTGAAAAAAAACTCCAATTAATCCGGTTATTCCATCAAGTGGAGAATACACATTTATAGAGTGGCTCCAACACAGTTCAACCAAAAGTTTGATTCCACTTAAACGGGGTCACTCTATGTTCGAATATTGTTTTGTATTTACCTCGACTGTTTTGGATTTTTGAACGGAAGGGGCGATGATGACGTCCGAGTGGCAACTTTGGCCATTGCTGTCTTTGAAGTAAATCCTGCTCCGGTCTCATCCCAGCTATAATGATGTTGTTCAAATTTTGTATTAAATCGGGGGCTTTGTGGTGGATGTCTCGGGCTGGTCATTTTGACAGTTAATGCTGCGGTAATTTTGCCAATGTTCTGTACCCTCCTTAATTCATTATGCCTGTGCAAACATGCGTCCGGAGCGCCTTACTGATACCAATAGACAGAAATATATACACACACATATATATAATAGAACTCTTTATATACATTTAGCGAGACGCATAAAATACTAGTGAGCAGAACAGGTTGGTGCTTTACGCTGCTATATTTGAATTCCACCATTCCTACGCAGGCAGATAATAAATAACGTCCTGACGTGTTCACCAGCCACAACTGTTGATTTTGAACTTTGCTTTTATTTATTCAGTTCACAGTTCACACACAAACACACATCCACGCATAAGATCCGAGAATTAAATTGCCACTAACCGTAGCCTCACTAAGACCGCCACCGTGTCCAATTGTGTTTGTGTGTAATTATTTATGTTTATACCTAACACATAACGATGTGAAACATTCTTCCTTGCAGCGATGTAGGGAATGCCTTTGTGTGAATGTATGTATAGGTACATCTCTGGAACCAATGTTTGTCCGATACATTAATTAATAGCTGTTATTTTATTTGCATATTCTTCACATTGACTAGCGAGTTGGAGGCTATACATACATACATGCTTGTCTCTGCATACAATACATAGCATTTAATTCAGACACATTTGTCACTGTGTTCTAGTCCATGAAAAATGCTAATTGAAATTCTCGAGAGTCTGTAAATCAAATATATTTTTTTACTTCATTGCACTGCTACTTTTTGTTGGAAGATCTGGGCATGAGTTGACTTATTTGACTATATCGAAACAGAAGGAAACATGGATCGATTTGTTGACTATACGACACTATGTTGGGAGGGGAATATTAAAAGTGTGATTGTGCCAGAAAGTTTGTAACACCTAGAATTGTTTGTCCAAAACCCACCATGTATTTGGTCTGTACATTTTAATTTGAAATTAAAAGGTCGTTGGGGTGTAAAATGGACCAAAACAGAAAAATGTTCCTGATTTTGACAGGATGAGTAATCTGCATTTTGGATGGTTATCGGATAATATATAAAATTAAAAATTCAACCGCGAATATTTGTAAATGCTGAAAGTTACTTCCCGGCGAAATCACATATACATGGAAGAGGCACTTCTGACCTTAACTTTGATGCTGATTTTGTTGACGTATATAGTCTGAAATCGAAGTTATGGCAAAATATTTCCGGTAAAAAAAAAACAATTAAGATAGTATCAGTCGGTTTTGCCGACCGTTTTATACCCCCGCCTTGAGTTATGATTATTCAAATTGTTGGCCCATTTATGTGGGAGGTTCCGAAACAGTTGGACAATGCTGACCAATTCGTATCTGATCTAAAACTGATATAAATATTACAACGTGTCAGATTTATACTCGACAAAATAGAAAAAAAACCTATGGCAAAAAATACATGTTCATATACATGTGTCGTACATGAACTGATTCTATTTTTCTGTCATATGCCTTAAAAGTAAATATCAACTGTAGGGCAAAATGATTTCAGAAGAGTCAGAGTTAATTACGCTTTAACACATATATTTTCGATCAAAGTAAAACTCAATGACGATTAACCCATGTCAGCCTGTTTGTCTGCCAATCGCTTAAATTTTCGATATATTGTGTAAGGTGTTTCGCTACCCCCAAAGTAGCCCAAATACAAATTTTGACCCAAATCGGTTGCAAAATATGGTCAATATCCTCGAAATAGGTAAAATCATGAGGTATATTTTGTGTGGGCGCTACTCCGAAACTTTGCCCCACATTGAAAATTGTCTGCGAAAATGTTTTCTACCACCTTAGGGCCAAATAAATTGAAAAGCTAAATCAGGGGATATCTTCATATAAGGGACTGAGAACTTAAATGCAATTAGTATGAAAACAAGTTAAAAAGTATCAGTCAGGATTGCCGACAGATACGTACCCACAGCCTATGCTCGATTATTTAAATATATTTTGACTTGTGTTATGATTAATATAGTATAAATATTGCGACGTGCCAGGTATGGACTATATCAACTTCTTCCTTCACTTTACATGAGATATGTGATAATTTTTAGAAAAGGTGAAAATGTGCGTGAGATAGTAGATGTAGTCTTCCGAAGTACTCCATTCTTACTTCATCTAATACAAAAAAAATTGATATGGGCAAAATTACAAGAAAATCGAACAATTATATCCAAATTTATGCGAAATCATAAATTACCATAAATTTCATATTCGTATCTGCTTTCTGGTTGAGAGAAATATTAAGGCATAGCAAGTTGCAAAGAATCGCGTGAGTTTCCAGAAGGGGTTCGCAGATATATATCATCTTCACAACAGATCTTGTGTTAGCAAAATGTTTATATGTGTGAAATTTGAAGAGAGTTGGATGCTTATTTCCTTTTAAGGTTTTGTTTTTGAACATACTGAACCCTATGTGGGGGAGGTACCAGAAGAAATGATCCGATCTCTACCATGTGCAAAGTTGGAAACGTTGACATTTCGTGGGAGAGGTACGAGAAGGAGTGGACCGATATTACCCATCTCCAAAGTCGTTCTAAGTTTGACAATAATATTATAGTTTTGACCAAATCGGATACTCCCTTCGAGAGCTATCGTGCGCACCAGCCAGCCAGATAGACGGACGGACGGACATCGCTATATCGACTCCAAATGTCCTGAAACGGCTGTATCAAATAACTAGCCATATGGCTTAGTTTATAAAAACCATTTTTAATTCTTTTCAAAATTTTTTTAGTAAGAACGATATGCAGTGGACTAGGGACCTCCAAATCAGTCCTATACACAGTTGCTCCCAAGTTAAGTGCAAAACTAATATCGGCTAATATCTAATATCGGCTGTTATTATATCTTTTCGATAGATAAAAAAGTGATGTTATCGGACACATAAATCGTTTTTCGCTATTACAAACTTCATTTAAGTATAAACTGTCCGATAGGCAAAAGGTCAGACCATCTTCCCTTTATCTTTTAACATAAAGTTTACCGAATTCATGATGCCATATTTTATATATATTATATGTCAATAACAGCTCAATCTATTTAAAAAATAAACTGGATAACGCAAGTCGTTTATTTTATATTGAAGAATTGAAATTGAACGAAATTTATTAAAAATTCGCTTTGTTTATTATTTCTAAGCTAAAATAAAGATGAATTTGTGTTACTTTTATAAAAATCTTGCGATATTTCTTTAAAAAATCATTTATTTTAACGGAAAAATGAAAACACCATAATGTGAACTTTATCCTTTAATTTCCATAACGTAGGGTATAACAAAACTGTACCATTTAGAAAATATACAGGGTTGCCCATATTCGACGGACCCATCTGGCAACGCCATAACTTTTGACAGAGATGTCACATCGCTTAATGACATACCGCGTTTGAAGCGTCAGTCCAAGCAGATTTTTACCATGGACCAATACACAGCGCTCTGAAATAGTTGAAATTTACATTCAACAAAAGAAGTCAATTGTGAAAACTCAACGTGCTTTTAAAACATTAAAAAATGTGAGAAGTGCGCCTTCTAAGAACACCATTAAGCGTTTATACCAAAAAATTTCGACTGGTAGGGCTCTTTCTAATCCGAAGAGGTCATATAAAAGTCGACCAAGGCGATCGGCCGAGAATATCGCTGCCGTACGAGCCAGTGTTGAGAGGTCCCCAAAAACATACCAAAAACGTCGTTCTCAGCAGTTGGGCATGGCTCTGTTCACTTTACAACAGATTATTCGCATTGATTTGCATTTGTCCCCGTACAAAATTCAATTGACGCAAAGAATGTTGCCTGCGGACAAGCCTCGTCGATTGGAAAGGGCCCAAAGAGTCATCGAAAAAATGGGTCCGTCGAATATGGGCAACTCTGTATAAGAACGGCCCTATTAAGCTTTGTGGATTTATTTATTTATTTTATTTATTGGTTCCCCGTCTATCGAGCTTACGAGGAGAGAACCGCGCCAAGTATTAGTAACTCCAAAGATTCACTTTCAACAATTTTTATTTTTGAATGTTAGCATATTACCTTTAGCTGCCATAGATATAAATATACGGGGTGAGATGAAAAAACTGCAATCAACTTCAGACTGCTGTCACTTCTAAGCCACTCGTCCGACAGCTGTTAAAATGATTCCAGTAACAGCTTATTATATTGTTTACAAGCGGACAAAATCATTTTGGTGAAAATTTTCCAGAAAAAAAGTTATTCGTGATGGAATTCAAGTGTGATAGTGTGATTTCTTTTTATTTGACTGGAAAACAACAAGTGGCTATCGTTAGAGCACGCCAGCATTTAAATGTGAATAAATCTTTTGTGTCTCGTACCATCGCTCGTTACCGTGATACTAAAAAGCGTAGCCCGACGTCAAGGAAGTGGAGGGGAAAAATGGCTCGTGAGCTGAACATATCGCAATATTCCATTCGGCAAATATTGAAAAAAAAGTGCAAGAACTTACACCGCAACAGAAAGAAAATAGACTCAAAAGAGCTAAAGAGTATCTTCGCTTGGCCGAAAGTGGTGAACCGCCGAATTTGGTTTTCTCCAATGGGAAAACAGTCGTTGTCCAGCAGTTTGTAAACCAAGAAAATGATCGTGTTTACTTGCCAAAGGGGTCAGCTGAAAGTGTACACCTTCGGTTGGCCACCAGGACTTAAGCGCCGGCCATGTTGATGGTGTGGGCCGCTATAACAGCTGATGGTCGCTCTCCGCTCGTATTAATCGACCGTGTCGTCAAAATAAATGACGAATATTATAGCGAAAATATTCTGGAGGGTGTATTAGAGCCTTGGGCACGCAAACATTTTGGCCGCAGACCTTGGACATTCCAACAGGATTCAGAATCATCGCACTCAGCACGCACCACCCTAGAATGGTTGCAAAATGAGGTTCCACGATTCATTTCCAGCGCACAATGACCACCAAAATCTCCGGATACCAATGCGTTGGACTATTGTGTCTGGAGTATTTTGGAAAGCAAGGTTGGCACTAAAAAATACCAAAGTGTCGATCATCTCAAGCAAGCGCTTCGCCGCGAATAGGCCGAAATACCGCAGAACAACATTTGGGCAGGATGGGACGGTTTCATTGGCCGTTCGAAAGTTATAATTCGTGCCAAAGTTGACCAATTCTAACAAATTTAATATTATTCTAAAATTTGATGCTATTTCCGACATTTTTTGCTTTCATTCAATGAAATTTAAAAAAAAAAATGTAAAAATTATGGCGTTTGACATTGTCGCAGTTATTTTTCTCACCTTGTATATGACAGCTATACACAAACGATGACCAATATAAACCACATTTAATATTAATCTTCCAAGGAATAATATAAAAAGTTTCAAACACAAATCTTAAATAGAGAGCCCTCTACCGTGACTTCAAGTGGCAGGTTAAGCGGCACATGGACATAATTTTATCGACATATGATTTTACTTTAATGAAGAACACCAACAAAATGAAGTCCCCAACGCATATTTTTTATGTCAAGCTTGACATAACGAATTTAAAATGCCAAATAATCGCCAGGACTGGATGAATGTTCCTATCCACTTTGCAATACTATCAGTTGAGCTGCTAACTGGGGGCTGTTATAAACCGAGGACACATACTTGTTGATAGTTTTTTTTTTTTTTTTTTAAGAGACAAATTGTGAGGATGTATTTTGTAGAATATCATGTCCTTAAAAATATCCACTAAATCAAAAATATCAAACACTAAAACTATGGGCCTGCAACGCGGTCCGGGTCAGCTAGTTATTTAATATTGAACTGGTGTTAAAAAGAAAGAATTATATCCAAAAACAAAATGTTAAGTATATATGCATATGTCTTATAAATGAATATACATCCTTGATATACATATGCCTTGATGTGTGCTCTGTTCCAGAACTGCATGAATGCGATTTTTCCTTTATGATATGGAAAACAGAGCAATGATTTTAAAAAATATTGAAGTATTTTTTATTTCGATTACGCCCTAATCTATAATCCGACGTACCGCACTATAATATTCACCAACGGATATTAACGTTGTAAAAATGAACCGTTAAAAATGCTGTTTAAATCATTTTTATCGAAATTGGATATAAATGTGGGAATCTAATTGCCCTTAAACTTCCCCAGGTACAAACGACAGATTTTTCTCGGCTCATATTGCACAATCTTCGAGATGTTTGAGTTCTGTCAGGACTTACTAGATTTTTGATCAAATATAATTAGTGGGGAACGGCCAAAGCTTTGCTTGATATTGTTATGTCAAACTACAAGGGATTTTAGACAAAACTAGAATCGTTAATACAATTGTGTTTGATTTCATTTTAATATGTTTAATACTCATCACCCTTGAAAAAAATGTTGATCTTTAACCTCGAGAAACTGGGTTGGGGGATGGGTTCACTGGGTTCAAACTTAAGTTGTAACGGCAAGCACTAGCACTCTGCCAAAATCATGGGGATTTGTGCAATTGCAAAATGACTATTTAGACTGGATACCAACTCATTTTGGCTTTTACGCATATAAAATGTATTAACCGTCGGTGTATTAACCCATTCCCGGCATTCGCACGTTGCGATGCTTTAGTTTGATACCTGTTGTTTTAACCGAACAATTGGAAATTCGTGAACGTACGTGCGTACAAGTACATATGTGTGTCTGTATATGCCAGGAAGCCAATAGTCAAAAGGGGATTCTTGTAACTACGTGTGTGCCTGCTTATTTACACACTCCGATGACTAAAATGTTCTCCGGGTGCCACAACAAGCACGTTTTTGCTAAATCGATGCGACATGTTTGGGATAGGGGATGAAATCGTTACATATGCCAATTGATAGAATGTTGTGGCGAAAAAAAATATTCCTAAACTGTTTTGTCTTTTTATCGCTAATGAACCATGCCATTTGTTCCATGGAATTCCTTGTCAACTATTGGCCTCTGCGTCTCGGTTTCGTTGACAAGACTAACCTGAAGTGACACAACGGGGTTTCCGTTGTCAATTGATTTTAGAGGCAACAATATTTAAAGCATGTGATTGTATGTGGTAGTTAGTCGGTCTACATGACAGACAGCCCGTAGGACCTCCCCGTCGCCCTGTTGCGTTACTTCTTTGGTACACGCTTTTCCATAGTATACTCACAATGTATCCCAGGCAAGTCGCTTGGTAAGTATAATAAACCACAAAGGAGGATGTGTAGATGGATGTATTCGACACAGGTAACGAAGGGGTGGACTCTTCTTTTATGTGTGTGTGTGCGTCTATGCTAGAATTCTGAATAAATTTTATATGTAAATTTATGCATGGTCTAGCTCAAAGCAGACAGAGCGGGGAGGGGAGAATTGTCGACAACAGTGATTATTATGTGGTCAAATGCCAAACAGCGCGACAATGGACGCTAAATCTCTCCATTCAGACATACAATCACTTAGTCAAGCAACAAGTGTTGTTGCACGTCCTCGTCGGGAATTTATTGTGTACACTGTAAATGTGCGCGCAACAATTCGAAGGCCCCCGTTGGGGACATTTGCAGGAGATGTGTGAGAACTTAATTGTTTTATGTTATGTTTGTCCCATTTGAATTTTTAGCTGCTTATGGATGCTTGGCGTAGATGAGGAAGAGGATGACAAGCACGTCGCCGTTTTTATGCACAATTACGTTCCGCTTTCTACACACCACTTCCGAAAAAACAGCGAAATACAATAACTATTACCGTTTATCACCGAACCACAAATTTTCACTATAATAGAAGACAGTTTCTGCGGGGATTTTCACACAGGACTTACAATGCTTCGTTTGCGTGTTAACGGTTCTAATGTTCGCGCTGTACTGTGCATAAGCCGAGTGTGCATCGTGGTTATATGAATTCATCCCGCAAATGACTACCACGCAGAGCTTTTAAATCTCTTGGTTTCGCATACATATTGAGAGGTTTCCAGGCACATTCGTAGAGCTTTATCAGAGCTTTATCAGCTTTCTTTTCGATTCCTTACATTGAATGACATTCATCTTTGCGCTAATTTTGATGACTTCTTGTACAATACTTATTGCAGTT